TAAGAGTTTTATTGGATGACTGTTTTTCTACTTCACCAGAATATTTCATTCTGATAAAAGGAATATGTTAACAATAAATTTGCAAATTCATTACCTTACTTAATACGTGAACACTAGAATATTTTGCGTGTGAAGATTAAAACGTTCACTTACAATGTTTGACATGACTTGAGTAACAATTGTAAGAACACCATACTTACTTAAAATTTTCTTCTCGCTTATCAGTAAATTCTAATAATTTTAGACGTTTATTCTGACTTATGGAAAAAAAGAAATATTGTTTTCAATGCAGTTTATTACTACTTAATAATGTGTTTTGGTATAATTAATGTGAATTTTTTTCCATTTTCTGTTTTAATATTCCAACATATTATTGAACATTTGTTTGGAAACGTTCAATTACGATAGTATTCAGATTAGCATTATGTTTTACTTAAAGACTGATCAGCTTTGCCTTGAATACAAAATGAAGTTTCATTTTGCATTCAGATAAGATTAGGTTCATTCTGATTTATGCTCAGGAAAATTAATAGACATAATTGCTATCATAAATATCGTAAAGAATCACGGAATAAGATTTATCTTCGGTATCTCCACATGCCCACAACACATTCCGAATCTTTACAGATACACCTCCAGTTTAGAAACCAGAAAAACCTTAAACCATTCCACGAGATAAAATTCTGCATATTTAAAGCGAACTATCGAATTATCTTTTTTATTACTTTACGTCTGCTTAGAGCGATGACGATTTAAGAGCCACCTTATAAAAGACCCGTTTTAACACCCGTCGTAAATAATACATATGGCATTAAAGTTACAGCCCGGTGAACTCCAACTTCACACCCCTCGCATCGAACGTGCCAGGTAATTACATTTACCCTGCGCCCCTGGCCTCGTGGCTGTGTACACAGCAATAAACCCGAGTAGCGCAGCCTCGCGAATGTTTTAATGGAAGCTCGCCTAACTTGAGGGCTACTCCTACCATTGTTCCGGGGACGATTTCGCAGAGTTTTATGGGTAAAATAACAGCTTCTGAGGTGCCGAGGTGCCGCGAGGGAGAGGAGATGAGAGAGAGAAGAAAGATGATGCAGGTGTTTCAGTTGTCAAGGGGCGGTGTGCCAAGTAATGTTGGGGCGTGGGAAGGGGAGTGAGACGAACTACAAAAAAAGTAGGACTGCAAGACAGTTGAGGGAACTGAATAATATGACGACGTAAGACCGTAAATGGACCAAAATATGTACGTAGTATATTCGGCAAAATATGCACATTAATATTCAATGAAAACGGTAAGAATAGTAATGAATATAAAATGGGATGTAATATGTAACACCAAAATACGCTATAATTTTCTCATTAATAAACAAAATGAATTAACACAATTTCAAATTACATTAATAAAACATATATTATATAAATTTTAAAAATAAATATTACTGGCAGTTTTTTATTGTCTCCTGCACATGCATGGCAACTGAATGGCCGCAAAACTATTACTGTAGCAACGTCTTCGTAATTATACATATCTGCTACCAATATTTCTCTGAAATTAGGATGAAAGAGGTACAGAAACGCGGCAAGTCGGGTTGAGGGGAGGCAAGTCAGTTTGAGAGGGCAAAGTCGAGTTGAGGGGAGGCACGTCGAGTTGAGGGGAGGCACGTCGAGTTGAGGGGAGGCACGTCGAGTTGGGGGGAGGCACGTCGGGTTGGGGGGAGGCACGTCGGGAAGAGGGGAGGCAAGTCGGGAAGCAAGTCGGGTTGAGTGGTGCAAGTCGGGAAGAGGCAGGCCGAGGGTGGGATGAATCGACATGATACGGAGCGGGATGTATGAATGGAAAAAGGCGAAATAATGCACGTCGCGGAGCGCTCAAGTGGCAAGGCCGGGGCGGGGACACGAGGACATCGGCGGGGGAGGTGGTTACGGCAACGACGCCGGGGCGGAGAGGGAGGGGAGGGATCAGGTGGCAGCGTTCCAAAGCCGCCGATTTATCGCCGACGCGATGCGCCCGAGGTCATAAATCCCGCAGGAATGAGCTTCGACGCCGCCTCGCGGGCCCGCGCCCTCCTCCCATCTCGTCGCCGGCTCCGCCCGAGTCCTCATCGTCACCGTCCCAGCTGACGCCGCCGCCGCCCGCGCCACGCGATTGTATTCTAAGGACGAGCGCGCTTCACGCCATTCAAATTACCCGGGCGCCCCGCCCGCCCCGCCGTCTCCGTGACGGGCAAACGCCGAAACACGCGCGTGCCCGAGACCCATGGAGTCGCAAGTCGGGCCTTCAAGTGGTTCCACTCGCTCTGAGCGGGGATGAAGTTTAGGCGGGCAAACTGTAGTCTACTGTACGTTGTTGAGTCTGTTCAAGCAAACAATATTTTCTATGAGCAAGACTCGGGCTCCAATGCTTATATCTCGCTCTTAGCGAGGCACAAAGTTTAGCGAGCGAATGTAGTTCACCGGGCGCTGTGTCTATTTAAGCGTAATTTTTTTTACTGTGCGTATGACTCGAGCTTAAGTGATTAGACTCGCTGGGTTTAGGCGGGCACACTGTAGTTCAGCGGGCGCTATGGGGTCTATTCAGGCATAGACAATTTTGTTCTGTGCGTATGACTCAGCTTCAGGTGTGTCGTTTAGCTCTAAACGAGGACGAAGTTTAGGTCGGCGGAACTGTAGTTCACCGAGCACTGTGCTGTCTATTCGAAATACACAATTTTTACTGGCGTTAGAATTAATGATCAAGAACTTCTGTTCAGTAACTCTTGGCGGGAAAGTTGTGTTGTGATGGTCTGCTGAAGAAAAAATGTATTTTACTTAATTGAGGTGCTTTGAATGCGCCATCTACGCACACTTCTTATTCACATTGTTCACTATTACTTCTATAAATCGTCGGCTACTAAGTATAGCGACATTAAAAACTGACCTTAAAATATTGTTTTTTATCTTGATCATACAACTGAAATACTTCCAAGTTTACTTTATATTCAGAACCTATGACCATTTGACAGATACTTCCCTGTAAAAAGTGTATGAAGTTTAGCTTTGAATGTGACTAATATTCGGGGTCAAAGTTTTCAAATTCACAAGAAATTAAAAAAATATACTACAATGATTCACTGAATGAGAAAATATCAGAACACTTTTTATCTCAGGTTTTTTGAGAATAAAATTTAAGACTGCGGATGTATTATGAAACAATGCATAAATTACTATCTAAGCACATGAAAGAAGAACCAATTTTTTTATTAAGAATTTAAATATCTAGAGTACTGAATCACAACTTGTGCATACATGATTTTTTGTGTATTGCTACAGACAGTTTTCTGAACTTTAATTACGAACTAGGTAATGATTTTACAACTTGTCTCTAGCAATAAATACAAAAATGAATAACCAGAATGTGACGTATAATTTTGTTTTCATTTCAAAACTCATTCTGACTGAGAAGCCATTATTGCATTATTCATTATGGGTACTGCAGTATCAAGATGTTTTCCAAAATAAACTAAAAAAGGGTTTGCGCCACATAATAAACACAGCTACCATAAAAAAATAAAATGTTAAATAACATCCAAGATAATATGACACTATCACTTCAAAAGACGTTTCTTAAAATGCCGAATGTCCATTTATTATAAGCTACATATTAATCTCAAATCGAAAAAAACTCGCATAATAATTTTAATTTGTGATTCATCAACGTATACAACGCACACGCTTCAATTAACAGTACGAAGAATTGTAAACTAAAAATATTGCCTTTGTGTCAAACAAAATAAGAATATATACGTTACAAGCAACCTGATGTTTCGAAACATACAACTGTTCTCAAAATTATGCGTTCCAAACCATCGCTGCAGGCAACGGATGTCACGCAGAACGAAGATTTCAGCAATTCGTGTATGCATCAACAAATCCAGCGCACAGCTTCAATTAACAGTACCGAAGAATTGTAAACTAAAATATTGCCTTTTGTGGTCAAACAAAATAAGAATATATACGTTACAAGCAACTGATGTTTCGAAACATACATGTCTCCAAAATTATGCGTTCCAAACCATCCTGCAGCAACGGATGTCAGCAGGCAACGGATGTCACGCAATTGCGTGTATGCATCAACAATCCAGCGCACACGCTTCAATTTAACAGTACCGAAGAATTTGTAAACTAAAAATATTGCCTTTGTGTCAAACAAAATAAGAAGATACGTTACAAGCAACTGATGTTTCGAAAGCATACACAACTGTCTCCAAATTATGCGTTCCAAACCATCGCTGCAGGGCAACGGAGTCACGCAGCAACGCGATTCACGCCAATTGCTGTGTATGCATCAACAAATCCAGCGCACACGCTTCAATTAACAGTACCGAAGAATTGTAAACTACAAATATTGCCTCTGTGACAAAAAAAAAAGAATATATAATGTATGCAATCTGACGTTTCGAGGCACTCAACTATCACCAAATTAACGCGTTCCAAACCACTCGGACGACGCATGTCAGGTAATTGCAAGAATATATAGTATATGCAATCTGCCGTTTCGAAACACACAACTATCACCAAATTAACGCGTTACAAACCGTCGCTGCTCTTCACGCAGGCAACGGATGTCACGCAATTGCGTGTAGGCATCAACATATCCAGCGCACGCACTTTAACAGTACCAAAGAATTTTAAACTAAAAATATTGCCTCTGAGACCAAAAAATGACGAATATATAGTGTATGCAACCTGACGTTTCGAAGCACTCAACTATCACCAAATTAATTCGTTCAAACCACTCGGGTGACGCATGTCATACAACTTCGTGCGTGCATCAACATATCCAGCGCACACATTTTAATTAACAGTACAAAAAAATTGTGAACTTCCCTACGTTGACAAATAAACGAAGAAAATATACTGTATGCAACCTGACGTTCGAAGCACACAACTATCACCAAATGAACGCGTTCCGAACCACTCGGGCGACGCATGTCACGCAATAGCGTGCGTGGGCGTGCACTCACGTGAGGCGCTCCTTGAGGAACTCGATCCATGTGTCCTGGCTGAGGTGCCCGTCGCGGTCCTGGTCGAACAGCCGGAACAGCCGCTCCAGAATCTCCTGGGGACAGAACGGCGCCACTTCGAGAACTGCCCTTGGGACCGCTTTGGTCGCTGGCCGCGTTCGCCGCGCTGCTGGCGGTCAGCGAAGCAATTTCAATTTCAAATGTTTCGCAGGCTCCCAACTGCGCCGTTTTACACATCGGCTGTTCCACTAACTGTAAATTTTCATGAATTTTTCTAACTCTCAAAGTGTCACTACTGACCTTGCCATGAGTAGTACCTCCCGTAAGAAAATAATTCATGTGTTTTTACGTTTGTCATGGAAGGCATCTATAAACCCATAAGAAGAGCATCTAAATCATCATTCATTTGTGTTTTCATTTGTATATAGGCCATGTCAACCTTCGATAATATAATACTTTGTCTGCCACATTTCTAATGACACTAGACACTAGTGTAAAAGGCTATCACTCAAAGTAGTGCGAACAGATTCGGTAACAAACCTACAATTTGCTAGTACAAAGGTGGTGGACCCGAGTTCATGTACGGAATGGATAATTGGCGCAAATGTAGTTGTTAATTGAAAGTTAATGTTCTTTCTTGCATTTCATAGTATCACGTAAGTTTTTTAATTGTGCTTTATAGTTGTATTCTTATATCTTGGCGCATCCATTGATTATGGCAATAATAAACTTATTCAGCTACATGTAAAAAGTACAAAGTAAGCTTTTGAAAACTTTTAACGAGTTTTTTGTTAGATTCTACGGATGTTCTGTATAAATTGATACTCTGAAATTCTAGAATGAATAGTAATAAATTTCTATATTTTATTGTCGTCATTAATTCTGCATATACAGTTACAATATGTTTATACTACTTTATACTTTTGTGTTCGAAGAAAACAGAAACCTGTTGGACACACTTGTCTTTATAGTTAGGAATAATTATTATTTCGTACTACATTTTTGATGAAGTATATACAATATATTTAGAATGAAGTATATTTAGACCACCAACAGTAAATAAATATAAATTCATATATATTTCATCTTCCAAAATCTGTTCAAAGCAACATTCCTTAAACCTCTCTCCTAGAGAAAATGTGTTTCAGCACTGCAAAAGAGAGCCACAAGAATAAATTGTTACATTTTTTGTCCCAACATTGGATTTTTAAGCAATGCATTTTTCATGAGTCAAACGTTAACACCAGTAACAGAGGTGGACTAATTTCATTCTTGTTTCCGAAGAACATCAGTCAGAGGAGGAGGGGGCAACGGGAAACCTCAAAATAATTTGCAATATAATTTATGTCCTTTTTACTTAAAAACCAATGATATATGTATTTAGCACTGTACTACAAGTATCTGCTGCAAATTTATATTTAAATATTGTCCATTTTTGAGGTTCGAAAAGTTAATTTTGAACAATACTTTTTAAGCACTAGACTACGTCTTTTTAATCACTAGTTCAACATTCGCTTTGTTGTTGGGATTGCACAACTGTTATCTATATCGAGAGGTACTAACATAGTGTCGCAGCGTGTGCATGCCTGTTATGGGAGGACTGCCTGTAAAGGAACGCCGGAGTTTCCACAAAGCTATTACACATGGTAACAGTAAAACAATTACTAAGAGTTGAAACACGAAACAATCGTTGTGGTTTCAAAAAAGTTCTAATAATAGAAGTCCTAAATGATGAAATAGTCATTCCATACCAAAACAAAGATATGAAGGAAAAAACTGGAGTCCGTTTTAGTGTGCGGCCGTTAAAAAACGTAGAAAATTTCTAAATATCGGCGACATATCGCTTAGGATAGCGAACTATCGCTTAGAATAGTTTTATCATATTTTTCATTGCTTAAATTGTATCATTCGATGCATCAGATATTATATCTGTAAAATCTTGTGATGCTTATAAGGTTTCCTTTTAAAACTACCCAATTGAAGTCAGGAAAATAGAGAAATCACTAATATTACAAACTTTTCTGGCTTTCACAGCGTAATAAATCACCATATACTGAGGTAATTCCTCACAACAATTTTATTATCACCGTCTTTTTCAAACTTTTTTAAAAATATAACAAACAAAAAGAATGTGGTGGAAAATATTCTCTTTTGTATCTATTTTCGAGAATATACATGAAATATTTTTTAAATTCATATCTTTCACAAAATTGTTTCGAAATCAATAGATGAATACACACATAAAATGTTAAAAATTGTTAAAAAGTTCACTTTTGCAAAATAATATCAACAAAGTAAAAAGGAAAGAAAAAAGAACTTTCACTTAAAAAATAAACACTAATTTTTTTAATGTATTCACTAACACTGTCAGAGTTAATTAATATCTCAAACAGTGATTGAAATAATTTACTATCACTCGTAAAACATCACCAAAAAAATCTACACTGTGAGAATACAACTTATTTACCCAACTCAATCATCGTTTTCTGAAAACGTAATCATAGCATCTGATAGTTTGTTGACACAACTCCAGTACATCTTCTAATACGATGTCACTTTCCCTTCTTGCATGTTACCTAATATATCACATCATTACTTAATAATGTATAATGAAATCGTCTTCGATGTATCACCCAGAAAAAAAACAGCACATTAACAGCAAATCATCACATCACACACACTGCGCCATCGCCCTCGACGGAGCACGCCCTCACCCCAAGCGCATGATCGCCGTGGCCGCCCACGCCGCCCGTACCGCCCGTGTCGATCTTGTTCGCAGCGCCGCGCGCCGCCTCGCACTGACGTACCGGCCTCGCACGCGCGCGCGCGAGCGAGCGCGTCCTGCCCCATCGCCCCCACCGCCAACAGCATTATCGCCGCCACTTACTCCATCGCCACCGCCACCACCACCTCCGTCCCTATCACCGTCGCCATCACCGCCTCGCCCAACGTCACCAACACTACCGCATACGCCGCGTCATCTCCACCACCCTCCCAACTTGTACGCGCCGCCACCAACGC